GTAATTACAACTTTTACCTCGGTTAAATTTCTTTTGTCTTTTGCGGCATTTACCAAAGTATCAGTTAGCGTTTACGCACGGAAAATGTTTACCTTGGTAAGTAAACTCTGGTACCTCGGTAAACCGTTCAAGTCTAAACACAGCATAAGGGGCGTGTCGCACTAAAGCCAGTTATGTTTGTATAAGTAATCATTGAATCTGTCAACAAGTAGCGAAAAATAAGTACGACCCCCATGGCCACTTTCAAAAGCTTGCCAAATTTTTGCGCATTGCCAAAATTTCGCCAATCTTCAAAGAAGCCGAAGTGCTGCCTCGGAGGCTTCCAAACTGTTTTGCCAAAGCAAACAATTTTGTTTGTTTGTTTGTTTGTTTTTTTTGGTCTGGCTACGGGCGGTAGTATCGAGAAGTGAACAAACGACCTCAGAGAAGCAAGTCTCCTTCGATCGCAAATATAGAAGCCATAAGCGGCAGCACCTCAAATGGAACAGAAAAGAAGGCGAATTAACCATTCTTGCATAATTTGCGCCCTAGATATTTCGTTGCCTCTTGTGGACATCCCTTGTGCACTCTTGTGAAGAACGCATGACTAACGTGTACGTCAATCAGCTAATGTTTTGGTTAAAACATGATGGTTTGATGCTACCACTGCAAAAATATGGAACTTTTTGCCAATTTTTTACTCGTCAAAAATTAGAAAATATTTGAATTCGCTCTACTGCGGCCCGGCCCTAACTTAGCTTCTTTTACAATGTAAACACACTCAGATGAATCGCCAGTAGTTTTCAAGGATGAAATAGACGCTGGAGAGTTCGTGGAAGCCATAAACGACCTTACACCTCACGGGGGAGGGGACTGTCCGGAGTTAGCATTTACAGGCATGCTAGAAGCACTCTATCAGGAACCACAGTGGGGGTCCCCTATGTATGTGTTCACGGATGCAGGCCCAAAAGATGCTTCAGATGAATTCATCGAGGAAGTGAAATATTTAGCGAGTGCAGAAGAATTTGGCGTGACGATTAACTTCTTCACCACAGGTAAGGAGTGTAACAACAAGGTTGGTCACTAAAATCGTACATAAAATTATTATAGTATTTTCAGGAAGTGCAAAAAAGAAACCTTCCATTGTTATGTAAGGCGTTGGTTGAGGTCTTTGTGTTACGTTCTTGGACAAGAATGCACGCGAGATCTCTTCCAGTGAATAGCCCTTTTTGATGATTAACTTTTCTTGATTGTATTACAGTATAATCTAACGTGTATATGCAGCAATTTCGGGCAATTTCCTAGTCTCTGTCCTCGCATCCACGTTAGATTACATTGTAATATAAATTTAAAAAGCTAACTGCAAAAAGGGCTATTGCCTGGACCACCTGAAATTACAAGCAAACTCACCTTGGGAGAAACGATGTTACAAATGAAACTAAAAATTTTTTCCTTTAAAGGAACTACTTCACAGTTTGCTCATCTTGAAAAGTTTAGCCTAAAATTTTTCAAGTTCGCCGAGTGTAATCCGATTTAATCTTCTCCATCTTTTATCTTCCTTGTCCTTTAATGTTTTATTTTTTATCTCTTTGGTGTTTTTCTGTCTTAGTAATCTTTTATTTTCAGGTTTCTTTCAATTTATAGGTAATTTGTACTTGAGTCGTACGTGAGTTGTAAGTTGTACGTCGCCAAAATAACTCAAAATAACTTGACTTAGCGCCTTTAAGCGTTACATCTCGTTACACACTTTTTGTATATCAGAATACATCTTGTAAGAATATGAAGGCTGATATTTACAAATTGTAAGACTATTTTAGGAATAAACCCGAGGCTGTGAGTTTTTTTAAAGACTATAATTTTGTGTGTTATAAATTGTAAATACAATACAGTTACACTTCTTTTTTAACTTAACGGTATAAAATTCTACCTTTCTCTAAACAGCAGAACTCGTCAAAACAACCAACTAAAACAGCACAAGCCATCTGTTCGATGCCAGTGACATTTCTGGACGAAGTTATGTGTACATATCAAAAACAATAAAACAGAAATCTCACACGCTATAATCTAAGAATATTTACAAGAATATTTTAAGCCTAAAATCAACAGAAAAATAATTAAGAATATTCAGGCTGGGCCGTGAAAACAATATTCTCATTAATAAAAAAAATGTAATTGGATTGTGATGCAACGCTCAACTCAACCCAATCTAGTCTAACCCGATCTAAATAATGCCAATGATGAGGGTAACGTTACGATGTACATTCCTTGTGGATAATGGAGATGGATGAAATCAGTTTCACTTGACTTTATTGCTTTCCCCGTCACCTTTTATTTTAGGTTTTTGCAGGTCTCAAGGATACTCAGGCGGTGATCCAAGAAATCTTCACCCAGCATTCAAGGAGCTTGCAGAGTTGACGTCCGGGCAAGCGATCTTGTTGAAAGATCACTGGGAACTGGAGACGCTCGATGGATTGACGGGAGGGGTGCTGGAGGGCACCAATGTGATTAGCATGGGTTCAAACATGTCAGGCAGAAAGAAACGAAGTGTGGGTGTAGCTGCAGACAGTCGATATAACATTCCAGTTGACGAGTCCATTGAAAAAATGTTAGTTACGGTCAGCACCACAAAGCTAGATACTAGAGGTTGGTATCCCCTCCCCCCGGGGCACTAATTCCCTATATGGGCTATATAGGTATGTGCGNTCATTTTGGTCTCAAATAAGGTATGTTTTTGCACTCTAGTCAAATAGTGGGTATGTTTTATATAAGAAAGCTACTTTTTCATCATTATCTATACGACCATCAGCAACAGCCCTTCGCAATGCCTTTAACATCGCTCTGGGTATTGATTTAAGGGTCAGGTCTTTAAAAGGGGATCGAATTCTTGATCAAGTCCTAAAATAGGGTAGGGAAAATCGTAGATTTTGGTCTTAAATAGGGTAAGGCTTTTGGGAAGCGGCACCCCACCCATTTTTTTTTTTTCTGGGGGTCCTCCCGCCCCCGGGAACGGTGTTTACGTAGTCCATTTAACATGCTTTTCTATTCGTAAGTTGTGTGTCCTATTAGATGAAGATCGGGTCTCCATGTAGAATTGTGAATTGTTTCTCTCAACGCAACGTTTTTGTAATCTGGGCATAAGGGTGTCCATTTCGACTCGAACCTTACCAGCTCAACAAATACCAACGTCTCTGGAATGAGAAAGAGAATCCACATTTTGATTGACAGTCTCGTCATATTAAGTGCTATCCCATAACAAGCGTACAACACTATCAAGACAGCCGTATGGGGATTACTTAACATCGTTTTAGCACCCACGACTTTTAACCTTGTATTAATTTTTCTGATACGGAGAGGGAGGTAGAGAGGAATCAAAATTTTAGTTGGCATCTCCTATTATAGCGTGATCAAAGCCGTTATTCTTCTAAGGTTGAAGCCTGCAAAGAATACTACATGTAACAAACCAAAAACCAAGTTTCATTCCGTGTAAGACTTTAACTTGCCATAAAATGGAAGTAACTAGTGTTACCTGATAAAAAAAGATTATGGTCCTATTGCATTGCTTACAATTTATTTTATTAGCCAAAGGCGATTAGCCAAATATTAGGACAGCATTGTGTCCGATACATAAAGCTAAAAGATGTAATATCTTCCTGTCTTCTTTGCAGGTCAAGGAATCACCTTAATGGACCCTGATGACATCATAATAACGTCTGGAAAACTCAGTCTGTCCCAGATCTCTGTATATCAGATCGACAACCCTAAAAAGGGAGCCTGGACTCTGGTCGTTTCGGGTGGCAATGGCGGACACGAATTCTACGTCAAGTCGACGAGCGAGACGAACGTTGACTTCGAGCATTATTTTATCATTTCACTGCGAGGACGCAGAGGAGTATCAACTGAAGTGCCTATTTCCAATCCTGTAATAGGTAGGTTGAAGATTTAAAACATGGAAACGTCATAGCAGTCATAGGAAAGAATGCATTGTTTTAGAAAATCTACGTAAAATATATATGATATATTAATGAAATATATCTTGTCGAAAGACCGTACCTGCAAAAGTAAAACTACTCGCCAATTCATTGGCTCCAGTAGAGGTAAATTTTCAGCCTTTAAATGGTAGAAGTTTGAAACGAAGAGTAAAATCAAATTTACAATAGCTGTTATCGCAGTTTTCAGCGGTTTGACATACAGACGAGGCGATAGGGTCATTTCTGCTTTGTATTGACCTTTTCCCCTCACTTCCACGCCCATTTTAACAAAAGAATATTTGACCGCAGACTCAACTGCAATAACAGCCATTCCATATTGTTGCTGCAGATGTTGTTTAGATGAGTACTTACAAGACTTATAAGAATAGTTAACGTAACGTGTGTGTAGTAGTGTCGACCTTTTTAACCTTGCATTCGTTAATTTTTCTCACAGGAAAATTAAACAAAATGGTTCTAACTGTCGCTGGATCTGAGAAAATCGACACAAGTTCTGTTCGTCTGGAGCTCATAACCACTGAGGGAGCCCGGATTAGTGACGTCACCCTGCAGAGACTCAACGATGTCCATTTCACCGCGAGCATCACACCACGTTCAAGCCAGCCGTTCAAGCTTAAGATAAGAGGAACCACACGTGGCGGGAATTCGTTCGAGAGAATCTCGCGCCAAACCATCAAACCAACCACAGCTTTGCTCAGGGGGAAGTACGCTAGCAATGATTACACCCTCCCTCTGGGGGCTGTCACGTTTGTTCATTTTCAACTGTGTAATTTTGGCGCCAGTGAGTATTTTGACGTGACTGTCGTCAAAGACAAAATGGGTTATGTGATATCCCCCAATGTCAGACCCAGGCGTGTTATGAAGGGGCGCTGCACGACTCTGTCCATTCGAGCAAGAGCTACCCGCTCTCAAGACGTGAAAAAGACAAATACTGTTTTCATAATCGCTAAGGGTCGAACGTCTAAATTTGTCGTTTCTCAAGCAGTGCGGCTTTTTGTTGTCCCAGGTGCAAATTAAAACTTTAGAGGAGATGAAAACCTGCTCTTTTCGTCGTACATATTAAACTGTAAGCTTTATTTCAATCTATGTATTTTATTTTCATCTAGATATGTTTTATTTCAATATAGGAGGAACAATTTTACGTTTTAGTTATATTTTATAAAGCGATATCAAGTTGTGCTAAATAAATTTCAATTTGTATCGAATAAACGTAAAGAGAGGTTTGTCCTCTCAAGTTAAGGGAGATTAAAATGGTTGTCTTTGTCCAGTGCGAGATTGGTGTTTAAATCGGAAAAAAAATGTTTTCCTTCGGCTATAGAAAAGCAACATCCCAACCGAAAACTCTACAAGCACTAAATCCCCCCAATATTATATCTTTTAGTACCTTCTAGTCTTCCTCTTTCTGCTTTCTGCTATACTTTAACGAAATTAGGGTGAATTCGTCTCCAGCCTCTGTTTGCTAACTCGCTTCCCAGCATCCACGCTGTCGCAAGGCTTACCATAAAACGGAAAACGTAACTTTGCCATCTTAAAAATACATGTAGCCACGGTTAAAATCATTGGGATACTTATTGAGGGGAACTTTGGCCAAAAAAGAAAACAACAACAACAAATTGAACAATGGGGCCAACGCGAAATTTTAAAGCTTTCAAGGGAACATGTGCCCTTACTGGGAGTTCCTCAGAGTTGTTCGTGTTTCGTTTTTCGGTTTGGTTGTTTGGCTGTTCTCGTTTTGTTCTTGTTTCCCGCATTTCTTAGAAATCCTAGTCAAATTCGGAAGAGTTGATAGTCCTAAAGCAATATTGGAAGCCACGAGCTTGGGGTTTCAACTGGCTCGCATGTCGACTTGCTTGATTGAATATCTCACTTGCTGTTTAGCTTGGCTGAACTCTCCGTTTAGCCTAAACTGAAGAGCACCATGTTTAGTTTTGATAGCACTATTTGCTTATTTGGCTTAGAGCTGGCATTTTCATTGGGATAAGAAACAAGCTTGCTCACATGGCTCGCTAGGTGGAACCGACATTAGAGACTTTGAGATCCATGTTTACCACAAATGGCAAACGGCTAGCGCTCACGTGCTCAGAGCCAGACGTCACGTTTGAGGACCTTTGAGGTTTTCGACTAGCGTTTTGAACGCCAAGAGGTAGGTTTTAACGTAAGTCATTTACCTCAAGCTTTATTGCCTTGAATTTTATTTTATACCACGTACAAATGCTGAAATGGAATAAAAAAAAACCTTTTTTCTACAAATTGGTGCAAAGTTTTAGGCAAATAAGCAATTACCTAGCCTTTTGTTGTTGTTTGTAGAAAGTTACTGATCTTAAGTGGAAATCCAATATGGCGGCGGCTTATTGAGTTGAAAGTGTGTTTTGCGATGCTATATTGCCTTAGAAGGCTGCACATGCTTGGAAAACAACAGCATACTATTTTTTCTATTTTCTGGCGTAATTTTGATCATTTCCAATGCACTGACAAGATGATTTCTATTTGCTCCAATTTACTCTCCAATCTAAATCGACTAACCTCCGAACGGAGTGAACCGCAAACGTTTAATGTACCTCAAACCGGGAATTCATATTTTTAAAAAGTTTTTAAAAAACTTTATAAGTACTAATAATTTTTTTTTTTGCAAAAAATTTTACAAGTTTATTGATATATAATTTCAATAAAATTTAAACTTATATTGCTATATACTAATAAACTGCAAATCGTGCAAACTAGTAATTCACTTTTCGCCCTTTAAATTTATTAGTATATTATATTTATTATACCGATAAACAGAATTTTTGTGAAAAAGAAATCGACTTTTTCGCCAGATCAATTTACTAGTATAAATGAATTAATATAACTTTAAAGGCCGGGAAATTGGGCCAAAAAGAAATCGACTTTTTCGCCAGATCAATTTACTAGTATAAGTGGATTACTATAACTGTAAAGGCCGGGAAATCGGGCCAAAAAACAATCGACTTTTTCGCCAGATCAATTTACTAGTATAAGTGAATTACTATAACTGTAAAGGCCGGGAAATCGGGCCAAAAAGAAATCGACTTTTTCGCCAGATCAATTTACCAGTATAACCCAATTACTATAACTGTGAACGGCTGGGAAATCGGGCCAAAACACAATCGACTTTTTCGCCAGTTAAATTTACTAGTATAAGTGAATTAATATAACAGATATAGCAGATGCCAATGGAAATTGGGAGGGATGGTTCGTGGGAACCATTATCACCTTCAATAAAAACAACATGGAATACACGATATCCTTCGATGGTTTCGACGACTCGCACAATATCCTGGTGCAAGAAGATGAAATTCCTTGGGAAGACATCGAACTTTTATGATAAACGGCAAAATAAAACATATCATATGTGTGTGGACTGAGAAAGATTACTCATCTCAATCTTTATTAGTGTTCTCCATTTTCAAATTATATGCAATGGAATGATCCCTATTTCTATAACCTCGTGGTAACTAATAAAAGCCAAATGTCATGTCTCTTGCTTTTGGTTCACTCGAACAATGTAACCCTGCCCCTGATTTCCTGAAACCTCGATTACTCTCAACACTCCTAAACTCTTACCAATCAGTGGCTCCTAATCTTCAAATTTAATCGTCTTCTTCGAACTTTCCAATTAAAAAAAATAAATCAGTTTTAATTAATCACAATTAAAGTACATTTCATGTAAAACAATCGGGCAAAAAAGTCCATGTCTTTTCTGCCAGTTTGTCATTTACTAGTGTTGAATATACATGTAATATACCAGTAAAACAATCGGGCGAAAAAGTCAATTTCTTTTTCGCCAGTTTGTCATTTACTAGTACTGAATATACAAATAATATACTAGTAAAACAATCGGTCGAAAAAGTCAATTTCTTTCCTGCAAGTTTGTCATTTACTAGTATTGATTGTACATCTAATATACTAGTAAAACAATCGGGCGAAAAAGTCAATTTCTTTTCCGTCAGTTTGTCATTTACTAGTATTGATTATATATCTAATATGCTAGTAAAACAATCGGGCGAAAAAGTAAATTTCTTTTTCGCCAGTTTGTCATTTACCAGTATTGATTATTCATCTAATATACTAGAAAAACAATCGGGCGAAAAAGTCAATTTCTTTTCTGCCAGTTTGTCATTTACTAGTACTGAATACACAAATAATATACTAGTAAAACAATCGGTCGAAAAAGTCAATTTCTCTTCTGGAAGTTTGTCATTTACTAGTATTGAATATACATCTAATATACTAGTAAAAGTATCGGGCGAAAAAGTCAATTTCTTTTCCGCCAGTTTGTCATTTACTAGTATTGATTGTACATCTAATATACTAGTAAAACAATCGGGCGAAAAAGTCAATTTCTTTTCCGTCAGTTTGTCATTTACTAGTATTGATTATATATCTAATATGCTAGTAAAACAATCGGGCGAAAAAGTAAATTTCTTTTTCGCCAGTTTGTCATTTACCAGTATTGATTATTCATCTAATATACTAGAAAAACAATCGGGCGAAAAAGTCAATTTCTTTTCTGCCAGTTTGTCATTTACTAGTATTGAATATACATCTAATACTAGTAAAACAATCGGGCGAAAAAGTCAATTTCTTTTCTGCCAGTTTGTCATTTACTAGTACTGAATACACAAATAATATACTAGTAAAACAATCGGTCGAAAAAGTCAATTTCTCTTCTGGAAGTTTGTCATTTACTAGTATTGAATATACATCTAATATACTAGTAAAAGTATCGGGCGAAAAAGTCAATTTCTTTTCCGCCAGTTTGTCATTTACTAGTATTGATTGTACATCTAATATACTAGTAAAACAATCGGGCGAAAAAGTCAATTTCTTTTCCGTCAGTTTGTCATTTACTAGTATTGATTATATATCTAATATGCTAGTAAAACAATCGGGCGAAAAAGTAAATTTCTTTTTCGCCAGTTTGTCATTTACCAGTATTGATTATTCATCTAATATACTAGAAAAACAATCGGGCGAAAAAGTCAATTTCTTTTCTGCCAGTTTGTCATTTACTAGTATTGAATATACATCTAATACTAGTAAAACAATCGGGCGAAAAAGTCAATTTCTTTTCTGCCAGTTTGTCATTTACTAGTACTGAATACACAAATAATATACTAGTAAAACAATCGGTCGAAAAAGTCAATTTCTCTTCTGGAAGTTTGTCATTTACTAGTATTGAATATACATCTAATATACTAGTAAAAGTATCGGGCGAAAAAGTCAATTTCTTTTCCGCCAGTTTGTCATTTACTAGTATTGATTGTACATCTAATATACTAGTAAAACAATCGGGCGAAAAAGTCAATTTCTTTTCCGTCAGTTTGTCATTTACTAGTATTGATTATATATCTAATATGCTAGTAAAACAATCGGGCGAAAAAGTAAATTTCTTTTTCGCCAGTTTGTCATTTACCAGTATTGATTATTCATCTAATATACTAGAAAAACAATCGGGCGAAAAAGTCAATTTCTTTTCTGCCAGTTTGTCATTTACTAGTATTGAATATACATCTAATACTAGTAAAACAATCGGGCGAAAAAGTCAATTTCTTTTCTGCCAGTTTGTCATTTACTAGTACTGAATACACAAATAATATACTAGTAAAACAATCGGTCGAAAAAGTCAATTTCTCTTCTGGAAGTTTGTCATTTACTAGTATTGAATATACATCTAATATACTAGTAAAAGTATCGGGCGAAAAAGTCAATTTCTTTTCCGCCAGTTTGTCATTTACTAGTATTGATTGTACATCTAATATACTAGTAAAACAATCGGGCGAAAAAGTCAATTTCTTTTCCGTCAGTTTGTCATTTACTAGTATTGATTATATATCTAATATGCTAGTAAAACAATCGGGCGAAAAAGTAAATTTCTTTTTCGCCAGTTTGTCATTTACCAGTATTGATTATTCATCTAATATACTAGAAAAACAATCGGGCGAAAAAGTCAATTTCTTTTCTGCCAGTTTGTCATTTACTAGTATTGAATATACATCTAATACTAGTAAAACAATCGGGCGAAAAAGTCAATTTCTTTTCTGCCAGTTTGTCATTTACTAGTACTGAATACACAAATAATATACTAGTAAAACAATCGGTCGAAAAAGTCAATTTCTCTTCTGGAAGTTTGTCATTTACTAGTATTGAATATACATCTAATATACTAGTAAAAGTATCGGGCGAAAAAGTCAATTTCTTTTCCGCCAGTTTGTCATTTACTAGTATTGATTGTACATCTAATATACTAGTAAAACAATCGGGCGAAAAAGTCAATTTCTTTTCCGTCAGTTTGTCATTTACTAGTATTGATTATATATCTAATATGCTAGTAAAACAATCGGGCGAAAAAGTAAATTTCTTTTTCGCCAGTTTGTCATTTACCAGTATTGATTATTCATCTAATATACTAGAAAAACAATCGGGCGAAAAAGTCAATTTCTTTTCTGCCAGTTTGTCATTTACTAGTATTGAATATACATCTAATACTAGTAAAACAATCGGGCGAAAAAGTCAATTTCTTTTCTGCCAGTTTGTCATTTACTAGTACTGAATACACAAATAATATACTAGTAAAACAATCGGTCGAAAAAGTCAATTTCTCTTCTGGAAGTTTGTCATTTACTAGTATTGAATATACATCTAATATACTAGTAAAAGTATCGGGCGAAAAAGTCAATTTCTTTTCCGCCAGTTTGTCATTTACTAGTATTGATTGTACATCTAATATACTAGTAAAACAATCGGGCGAAAAAGTCAATTTCTTTTCCGTCAGTTTGTCATTTACTAGTATTGATTATACATCTAATATGCTAGTAAAACAATCAGGCGAAAAAGGCAATTTCTTTTCCGCCAGTTTGTCATTTACTAGTATTGATTATTCATCTAATATACTAGTAAAACAATCGGGCGAAAAAGTCAATTTCTTTTCTGGAAGTTTGTCATTTACTAGTATTGAATATACATCTAATAAACTAGTAAAACAATCGGGCGAAAAAGTCAATTTCTTTTCCGCTAGTTTGTCATTTACTAGTATTGATTATACATCTAATATACTAGTAAAACAATCGGGCGAAAAAGCCCATTTCTTTTCTGCCAGTCTGTAATTTACTAGTATTGATTGTACATGTAATATACTAGTAAACAAATCTGGCGAAAAACTGCATTTCCTTTTTTGCAAGTTTTCAATTTACTAGTATAAGATTTAATTATCTTTTTGCAGTTAATAAAATTGTCACTGTTAAAGTTTTTTGCAAAGAATTTTTTTATTGGTACTTGTAAAGCTTTTTAAAAACTTTGCAAATATCTGATTACCCCCTCAAACCGCAGTTAGACGTTTGTGGTAGACATGGATCTAAAGGTCTCTATTGTTAAAATCACTGAGTTGATGAATGTTTCTTCGGCCCCAATCTGTATTTAACCCTTCAGGTTTGGGTTAAAAGGTTAAAGAAAACACTTGAAATTTTGCCAGTTTGTCTAAAAAAGTGAAATCCTGCTAGGAGTAGACAAACGTATCAATTTCTCAGAAGCTGAAGGGTAGGTTTTAGGTTTTGTGTCTTCTGGAATCTCGTCTGCCAATTGGGATCTGTTGTTGAAATGGCGACTATATATTTGGCACTCTTTTTCAAAGTTGGTTTCCTTTGCCTGGCTATGTCGACCAATGTTTGTAATGGGAACCTCTTTAGCTCACTCAAGTTCACTCGCGATGCTCTGTTCGGATTCTCTCGAGTTGTTGCAAAGCCTGCGACCACGAAATCACCCATCGAACTTGCTCTCGGCCGGTCGTTTGGAGGCCCCAAGAGACAACCGCAAAGCGTCAATGTTTACCGACCTTCCAACAAATTCCTCGAAGTTATCAACGAGATCGAAAAAGCCGTAGCAAACGCAGGAGCGATTGATAGCCGGCTGCGAGACAACGAGCAGACAAAGACCAAATTGTCTCGCCTCTTGGCAAACGCGATAAAAAGTAAAAGCTACAAATACGCCAGGGATGTCCTTGGAAATATTTTGCATTTGCTCAGCACAGAGTCTTCGAGGCGTAGAAAAAGGTCTCCCGAAAACGCAGGTACAACGTTTCTTCAAGAACTTCGTCAAACCCTTGGGAACGACACATTTGATAGCTTTATGGCGGTCAAAGGAGATGTCTCTCTAATTTTCGTTGTTGATGATACAGGAAGCATGAGCGATGAAATTCAAGCCGTGAAAAAGATCGCAATTGCTGTGGCAAATTATCCGCGTGAGGCACCAGTAGAGTATATATTATCACCTTTCAATGACCCAATGTCAGGTGTGTAACAAGGAGTTTGCTATCGTAGTCTTCAGAATACGTGTTTTAGGGTAATAGACCCTTTTTAGCTTGGGCAGTTTGTAGCCCCATTTAGGGCTATGTCATTAAACTCTTGAGAATTTTTGCTTTCAAAATTTTCAAATAGTGGCGTGTATGTGAATGAATGAATGATTTTTGATGGACCAAAGAACAATTTTCTAGCCGGAGAATATCAAATGGTCTGGAATGAGAAAGCAAGCATCCCACTGACAAGGTCTATTTTGCCACCATACCAACTAGTCTGGAGTGACATCATACGCGTGTGTCGTCGCTCTCGTACCGTGCGCGACTGAGTGTGTCACGTGTGTTACACGCGCGTTTGTAATACACGTGTAAATTACAACAATTACAATTAAACTTAAACTACAGTTACAAAAAATACAGGGGGTATATAAAGTCAAATGGCCGCTAGTGCTGGTGCTGCTGTTTTGAGTCCATAATTTCTTTAGTACTGGGACATTGGGGGTCCAATCTGAACACCGCAATAACGCATAAAACACCCTTATTTCTTCTGACTCAAAAAATTAAAATTAAACGAAGGGATCTCCATAATCCATTACTCGATAATGATCAAGATATTATACAACAATTTTGCAACTCGCTTAAAAAATATGGAAAGGGTTCCGGACTAACTTAAAACATTCATGTTTGGGAATCTAACTCACCCAGCATTATCACCTTGCTTTTCCCTTTTTCTCATTTCTGTACTCGTTATTTCTTTCTCAAAAGACGCGGGTGAAATGGTAACGAAACAGGATAACCAATCAATGGAATTTGTGCAGGCGATCGACGCTCTAAATGCTCACAAAGGAGGGGACTGCCCAGAATATACTTTTCAGGGAATATTAAATGCCCTTGGACAGGAACCCCTCCTTGGCTCGCCCATGTACGTCTTCACTGACTCTGGTCCTAAAGATGCTACACCTGAAAACATAGAAGAAGTGAAAATGTTAGCAGAAGATGACGAAATCACAATCAACTTTCTTTCAACAGGTACGTTAAAATTATTTACGAAGTTCCAAAGATGTTGAGTGTTCCAAGGCAATCAAGCAAGACAGAGAATTGGGGTTCTAAAGAATTTTTGTACTACCCAAGGGATTTAAGGAACAATGTGCTGCAAATAAGTATAAAACCACCGGCGTTCTATCGCGAATACCGTTCCCTTATTGGCCACGCTACTCGACATCTATTCCTTTATAGACACTAAAAAGCCCAGCAGTGTGCGGTTGTTAGCGTAATGGCGGCCATTTCTTTGCGTTTTCGAAGCGTCTGTGTAGAGGATTTACTCAAAGGTTTGAGCGACTATTATGTTTTCAAGAGGAAGAAATCTCGAGCTGAAGTAATTGTTAATTGAAAGATGAAAGACTGGATTCCAGATTTAAAGGAAAAAAGCGTCTACACTGTTTTTGTGTGTGAAGATCGTAGTCGAGAGCACCTGCTGACCTTGGGCAAGACATCAAAGAAATCGACGTTGTCGGGAGATATGTGTTAGTTATCTCATGTATCCAATAGTGTAATGTGCATCCATATTTCTGTTTCTGTAGCAGTGTTGTTTTCTGCTCATCCTACAGCCAATTCTATCCTGTGGTACTGGCAGGTTTATGTTTTGTTTAAGTTTTTTTTCTTTTTCCCAGAAAGCAGTTTCGAAAGGCTGAACCTACCAGCTGTGCAAAGATTCTGCAAAGCCCCACCCACATAACTTTTGAAGTCAAAAACTTGCCCCGTGTGGGGACTCGCATGTGGAAACGTCGAGGATTATCGTCGGAAAATTTGACTTAAATCCCTAAACGAGGCCGATCTGTTCGTTGCTCTAGCTTATTTTGATCCCTAAAAGATACCAATTTAAAACGGATATGACAGCGTTTTCTATTCGTTTTTCGAGTGCAAACCTAAAAGATGTCTTGATTGCTAAAAATAGTCGAGTTTGCTACTAAACATCCTAAGTGAGATCGAGATCCATGATTCATTTACGGCCTTAAGTGAGACGACAAGCATCACCCACTGACCTTTTTCACATGGAAGTCCTCTTCCCTCCCGCGGGAAGAATACACAGGCCTCCCCTTCATAGTAAGGCATACTCCAAAGGAAGAGCAAGCTGAACAACAACAACAACGACAACAAAATGGCCGATTTTACGTTACTTCCTTTGTACCTCCCTTCCATCTTCCCGTCACCTCCTCGCCACTCTTAATTAGCGAATAACCCTAAAAAAACCACTAAGTAATGTTAAAAATAACAATATTTATATTTCAACAGGAAGCTGCCATGGTGATGAACTCCATCCAGCTTTTCGCGAACTCTCAGATTTCACCTCGGGTCAAGCTCTGTTGTTGAAAGACGCAGCAGAAATCGAAAAGCTTAAGAATAGCACGGTGAAGGCCTTGGAAGGGACTGCCTTCATTAGCATGGGATCGAGCCTACGGGCCAGGAAGAAAAGAAGCTCGGGGAGACCAAGTCAGTACAGGTTTCCCATCGATGATTCCATTGAGACAATGACGATTTCTGTTAAAACGACTCGACGCGATACAAATGGTTTGTGTTGTTTTCTGGAGCTAAAGCCTGCTTTTTGTTTTGTTGTTATTTTGCTTTATTTTTTTTTTGTTTTTGTTTTTGTTTTTGTTGTCGTTGTTGTTGTTTTTTTAATTGCGAAATACAAAATTACTTACAACGTACTCTCTCTACTAATAATACGACACAATACTAACTCTACTTGAAGTACAATACAATAACATGCCATGCAATACACTATTTTACTCTACCAAGACATATTCTCTTGACTCTACTACTTACACTGTTTACCATGCTATTCTTACATTACAAGGATATGGTAATACGCCATGAAACAATGCAACAACTTCCACTACTAACAGTCCTTACTTATACATGATTTATACTAATACCTAAAATAGCAACATTACATACCGCTTTCTTCAAGTAGTTAGCAATCTTTCAAGCTAATTCGATTAATTATAGTTACAGTTATCCTGGGAACCAGCTAGCGGTTTTCACTAAATCTCGCAGGTAACTGAAATACATGGTCTTATAACATCGTTGTAATATTTATTGCTGCCCGCATAAGGCAGCCTCCTATTTCTGTCCTGATATCTCGGCTTCAGGTTATCTGTTTGTTAGCAGTTCTCAGGCCCCACTGCGTAGAAAGTCTGCGATTGGTGAATTTATGGTGATAGACTTGAATCTGCGACCTCGAGCTTTAACCGTTTGTTGAGCACATTCGTTGATGCAAAGGGAAGCGTTCGAAGAGATTGATTATTTTGAAGTACTTTTTCTCCTAAAACAGCGACGAAAACACGCCATTCGTTCGTGACGAATTTTTAACGTCCAGGGGTTCCAACCTACTTAAGGCGATCTAATGCCTGTTTACTAAGTTACAGATCTCCCAAGAACGCAACAACGAATACTTCATGCAAAATTCTACGGAAAACCTATGGTAAATAAAGAAATACCTGTAAGCAAATACTGGAAACAGATAAAGCATACGTCAAAGTTGGCGGGAATGATGTTTAATAAGTTTATTCTATTAACTGTCAACTTTAGACCCCCAGGGGGTAGAGGTACAGTAACTTCATGATTATTGCGCTCGTATCCATGTGATATCTTCACGTCTCACCCCCTCCCCCCCTCCCCCCAATCATCTTTTTACATGGGGCAGCACTTCACTTTAGCTCACTTTCAATATGGCAAACCAATTTTAGGTTTTCAGCCTTACGTTTCTTCTAAGTTACCTTCCACGGAGAGATTCTAAGCATTCAAAAAATTAATACTTTTCTTAATCTTTTATTAATTTATTAATTTCATTAATTTCACTGTAGGGCATGGAATAATTTTGAAGGATCCAACAGGTGCCACAGTTACGGCTGAGAAAATCGTTCTTACCCAGGTCTCTGTCTACCAGATCACAAAACCTGCGCTGGGTAACTGGACTCTGGAGATATCTGACGACACTACAGGGGGGCATGAGTATTTTGTTAAGTCAAGCAGCAACACCAACATCGACTTCAAACACTATTTCATGATTCCGCTCGGGCGTGGTCGCAGGAAAGCTGTTGCGTCTTTTGCAAATCCAATTACTGGTTTGTACTACGTATATTTTTTCGTAACAAAGTTGGTTTAACCCTGTTAATTAAACAAACTTCTTTGATTCCCAATGTTTTTAGCTCGGGCCTCACTCTGAGACATCGTACATTACTATCCCAATTTGCCAAATGTTCTTGATATACACGAGACCTATTACTGTTTCAAAGCATGCAACTGTTTCAGCCAGCAGAATGGGTTGTCATTGGAAACTGTAAACACCTCAGATCAGGCGCCTTTCTTTGGGCTTCTGATAGGGTCTGGGTGGAGAAAGTGGAATCTTAGTTATCGGTTATCAGTCAATACCCCCTACCCCTCCTCCCCCCTGCCTCCTGTAATTCGCTTAGCCCGTCATGCGTGACGCAAAAAGAAATCACGCGGCCATCGTTTTTTATCGCAGTTTATTTACAGTCATGGGGGTCCGAGTAGTCCAGCTTCACTCCTTCAGCTTATAGGGGTCTAGAATTCTATTCTTGAGTGTGCTGGACTCCGCATCGGGGTGGTCCGGGTTTGAACCCACACCAGATCCCCTGCACTGAATTCTTGAGCAAAACCCTTTAATCTAAAATAATTTCTCCATGTTGGAGTGTAAATGGGTATTTATAAATGCTGGGGTCGTCCGGTTGCTGGCGAAGCATCTTATCTAGNAAAAGTCCATTTCGTTTCTGCCAGTTTGTCATTTACTAGTATTGAATGTATATCTAATATACTAGTAAAACAATCGGGCGAAAAGTCAATTTCTTTTCTGCCAGTTTGTCATTTATTAGTATTGATTATACATCTAATATTCTAGTAAAACAATCAGGCGAAAAAGTCCATTTCTTTTCTGCCAGTCTGTAATTTACTAGTATTGATTATAGATGTAATATACTAGTAAGCAAATCTGGCGAAAAACTGCATTTCCTTTTTTGCAAGTTTTCAATTTACTAGTATAAGATTTAATTATCTTTTTGCAGTTAATAAAATTGTCACTGTTAAAGTTTTTTGCAAAGAATTTTTTTATTGGTACTTGTAAAGCTTTTTAAAAACTTTGCAAATATCTGATTACCCCCTCAAACCGCAGTTAGACGTTTGTGGTAGACATGGATCTAAAGGTCTCTATTGTTAAAATCACTGAGTTGATGAATGTTTCTTCGGCCCCAATCTGTATTTAACCCTTCAGGTTTGGGTTAAAAGGTTAAAGAAAACACTTGAAATTTTGCCAGTTTGTCTAAAAAAGTGAAATCCTGCTAGGAGTAGACAAACGTATCAATTTCTCAGAAGCTGAAGGGTAGGTTTTAGGTTTTGTGTCTTCTGGAATCTCGTCTGCCAATTGGGATCTGTTGTTGAAATGGCGACTATATATTTGGCACTCTTTTTCAAAGTTGGTTTCCTTTGCCTGGCTATGTCGACCAATGTTTGTAATGGGAACCTCTTTAGCTCACTCAAGTTCACTCGCGATGCTCTGTTCGGATTCTCTCGAGTTGTTGCAAAGCCTGCGACCACGAAATCACCCATCGAACTTGCTCTCGGCCGGTCGTTTGGAGGCCCCAAGAGACAACCGCAAAGCGTCAATGTTTACCGACCTTCCAACAAATTCCTCGAAGTTATCAACGAGATCGAAAAAGCCGTAGCAAACGCAGGAGCGATTGATAGCCGGCTGCGAGACAACGAGCAGACAAAGACCAAATTGTCTCGCCTCTTGGCAAACGCGATAAAAAGTAAAAGCTACAAATACGCCAGGGATGTCCTTGGAAATATTTTGCATTTGCTCAGCACAGAGTCTTCGAGGCGTAGAAAAAGGTCTCCCGAAAACGCAGGTACAACGTTTCTTCAAGAACTTCGTCAAACCCTTGGGAACGACACATTTGATAGCTTTATGGCGGTCAAAGGAGATGTCTCTCTAATTTTCGTTGTTGATGATACAGGAAGCATGAGCGATGAAATTCAAGCCGTGAAAAAGATCGCAATTGCTGTGGCAAATTATCCGCGTGAGGCACCAGTAGAGTATATATTATCACCTTTCAATGACCCAATGTCAGGTGTGTAACAAGGAGTTTGCTATCGTAGTCTTCAGAATACGTGTTTTAGGGTAATAGACCCTTTTTAGCTTGGGCAGTTTGTAGCCCCATTTAGGGCTATGTCATTAAACTCTTGAGAATTTTTGCTTTCAAAATTTTCAAATAGTGGCGTGTATGTGAATGAATGAATGATTTTTGATGGACCAAAGAACAATTTTCTAGCCGGAGAATATCAAATGGTCTGGAATGAGAAAGCAAGCATCCCACTGACAAGGTCTATTTTGCCACCATACCAACTAGTCTGGAGTGACATCATACGCGTGTGTCGTCGCTCTCGTACCGTGCGCGACTGAGTGTGTCACGTGTGTTACACGCGCGTTTGTAATACACGTGTAAATTACAACAATTACAATTAAACTTAAACTACAGTTACAAAAAATACAGGGGGTATATAAAGTCAAATGGCCGCTAGTGCTGGTGCTGCTGTTTTGAGTCCATAATTTCTTTAGTACTGGGACATTGGGGGTCCAATCTGAACACCGCAATAACGCATAAAACACCCTTATTTCTTCTGACTCAAAAAATTAAAATTAAACGAAGGGATCTCCATAATCCATTACTCGATAATGATCAAGATATTATACAACAATTTTGCAACTCGCTTAAAAAATATGGAAAGGGTTCCGGACTAACTTAAAACATTCATGTTTGGGAATCTAACTCACCCAGCATTATCACCTTGCTTTTCCCTTTTTCTCATTTCTGTACTCGTTATTTCTTTCTCAAAAGACGCGGGTGAAATGGTAACGAAACAGGATAACCAATCAATGGAATTTGTGCAGGCGATCGACGCTCTAAATGCTCACAAAGGAGGGGACTGCCCAGAATATACTTTTCAGGGAATATTAAATGCCCTTGGACAGGAACCCCTCCTTGGCTCGCCCATGTACGTCTTCACTGACTCTGGTCCTAAAGATGCTACACCTGAAAACATAGAAGAAGTGAAAATGTTAGCAGAAGATGACGAAATCACAATCAACTTTCTTTCAACAGGTACGTTAAAATTATTTACGAAGTTCCAAAGATGTTGAGTGTTCCAAGGCAATCAAGCAAGACAGAGAATTGGGGTTCTAAAGAATTTTTGTACTACCCAAGGGATTTAAGGAACAATGTGCTGCAAATAAGTATAAAACCACCGGCGTTCTATCGCGAATACCGTTCCCTTATTGGCCACGCTACTCGACATCTATTCCTTTATAGACACTAAAAAGCCCAGCAGTGTGCGGTTGTTAGCGTAATGGCGGCCATTTCTTTGCGTTTTCGAAGCGTCTGTGTAGAGGATTTACTCAAAGGTTTGAGCGACTATTATGTTTTCAAGAGGAAGAAATCTCGAGCTGAAGTAATTGTTAATTGAAAGATGAAAGACTGGATTCCAGATTTAAAGGAAAAAAGCGTCTACACTGTTTTTGTGTGTGAAGATCGTAGTCGAGAGCACCTGCTGACCTTGGGCAAGACATCAAAGAAATCGACGTTGTCGGGAGATATGTGTTAGTTATCTCATGTATCCAATAGTGTAATGTGCATCCATATTTCTGTTTCTGTAGCAGTGTTGTTTTCTGCTCATCCTACAGCCAATTCTATCCTGTGGTACTGGCAGGTTTATGTTTTGTTTAAGTTTTTTTTCTTTTTCCCAGAAAGCAGTTTCGAAAGGCTGAACCTACCAGCTGTGCAAAGATTCTGCAAAGCCCCACCCACATAACTTTTGAAGTCAAAAACTTGCCCCGTGTGGGGACTCGCATGTGGAAACGTCGAGGATTATCGTCGGAAAATTTGACTTAAATCCCTAAACGAGGCCGATCTGTTCGTTGCTCTAGCTTATTTTGATCCCTAAAAGATACCAATTTAAAACGGATATGACAGCGTTTTCTATTCGTTTTTCGAGTGCAAACCTAAAAGATGTCTTGATTGCTAAAAATAGTCGAGTTTGCTACTAAACATCCTAAGTGAGATCGAGATCCATGATTCATTTACGGCCTTAAGTGAGACGACAAGCATCACCCACTGACCTTTTTCACATGGAAGTCCTCTTCCCTCCCGCGGGAAGAATACACAGGCCTCCCCTTCATAGTAAGGCATACTCCAAAGGAAGAGCAAGCTGAACAACAACAACAACGACAACAAAATGGCCGATTTTACGTTACTTCCTTTGTACCTCCCTTCCATCTTCCCGTCACCTCCTCGCCACTCTTAATTAGCGAATAACCCTAAAAAAACCACTAAGTAATGTTAAAAATAACAATATTTATATTTCAACAGGAAGCTGCCATGGTGATGAACTCCATCCAGCTTTTCGCGAACTCTCAGATTTCACCTCGGGTCAAGCTCTGTTGTTGAAAGACGCAGCAGAAATCGAAAAGCTTAAGAATAGCACGGTGAAGGCCTTGGAAGGGACTGCCTTCATTAGCATGGGATCGAGCCTACGGGCCAGGAAGAAAAGAAGCTCGGGGAGACCAAGTCAGTACAGGTTTCCCATCGATGATTCCATTGAGACAATGACGATTTCTGTTAAAACGACTCGACGCGATACAAATGGTTTGTGTTGTTTTCTGGAGCTAAAGCCAGCTTTTTGTTTTGTTGTTATTTTGCTTTATTTTTTTTTTGTTTTTGTTTTTGTTTTTGTTGTCGTTGTTGTTGTTTTTTTAATTGCGAAATACAAAATTACTTACAACGTACTCTCTCTACTAATAATACGACACAATACTAACTCTACTTGAAGTACAATACAATAACATGCCATGCAATACACTATTTTACTCTACCAAGACATATTCTCTTGACTCTACTACTTACACTGTTTACCATGCTATTCTTACATTACAAGGATATGGTAATACGCCATGAAACAATGCAACAACTTCCACTACTAACAGTCCTTACTTATACATGATTTATACTAATACCTAAAATAGCAACATTACATACCGCTTTCTTCAAGTAGTTAGCAATCTTTCAAGCTAATTCGATTAATTATAGTTACAGTTATCCTGGGAACCAGCTAGCGGTTTTCACTAAATCTCGCAGGTAACTGAAATACATGGTCTTATAACATCGTTGTAATATTTATTGCTGCCCGCATAAGGCAGCCTCCTATTTCTGTCCTGATATCTCGGCTTCAGGTTATCTGTTTGTTAGCAGTTCTCAGGCCCCACTGCGTAGAAAGTCTGCGATTGGTGAATTTATGGTGATAGACTTGAATCTGCGACCTCGAGCTTTAACCGTTTGTTGAGCACATTCGTTGATGCAAAGGGAAGCGTTCGAAGAGATTGATTATTTTGAAGTACTTTTTCTCCTAAAACAGCGACGAAAACACGCCATTCGTTCGTGACGAATTTTTAACGTCCAGGGGTTCCAACCTACTTAAGGCGATCTAATGCCTGTTTACTAAGTTACAGATCTCCCAAGAACGCAACAACGAATACTTCATGCAAAATTCTACGGAAAACCTATGGTAAATAAAGAAATACCTGTAAGCAAATACTGGAAACAGATAAAGCATACGTCAAAGTTGGCGGGAATGATGTTTAATAAGTTTATTCTATTAACTGTCAACTTTAGACCCCCAGGGGGTAGAGGTACAGTAACTTCATGATTATTGCGCTCGTATCCATGTGATATCTTCACGTCTCACCCCCTCCCCCCCTCCCCCCAATCATCTTTTTACATGGGGCAGCACTTCACTTTAGCTCACTTTCAATATGGCAAACCAATTTTAGGTTTTCAGCCTTACGTTTCTTCTAAGTTACCTTCCACGGAGAGATTCTAAGCATTCAAAAAATTAATACTTTTCTTAATCTTTTATTAATTTATTAATTTCATTAATTTCACTGTAGGGCATGGAATAATTTTGAAGGATCCAACAGATGCCACAGTTACGGCTGAGAAAATCGTTCTTACCCAGGTCTCTGTCTACCAGATCACAAAACCTGCGCTGGGTAACTGGACTCTGGAGATATCAGACGACACTACAGGGGGGCATGAGTATTTTGTTAAGTCAAGCAGCAACACCAACATCGACTTCAAACACTATTTCATGATTCCGCTCGGGCGTGGTCGCAGGAAAGCTGTTGCGTCTTTTGCAAATCCAATTACTGGTTTGTACTACGTATATTTTTTCGTAACAAAGTTGGTTTAACCCTGTTAATTAAACAAACTTCTTTGATTCCCAATGTTTTTAGCTCGGGCCTCACTCTGAGACATCGTACATTACTATCCCAATTTGCCAAATGTTCTTGATATACACGAGACCTATTACTGTTTCAAAGCATGCAACTGTTTCAGCCAGCAGAATGGGTTGTCATTGGAAACTGTAAACACCTCAGATCAGGCGCCTTTCTTTGGGCTTCTGATAGGGTCTGGGTGGAGAAAGTGGAATCTTAGTTATCGGTTATCAGTCAATACCCCCTACCCCTCCTCCCCCCTGCCTCCTGTAATTCGCTTAGCCCGTCATGCGTGACGCAAAAAGAAATCACGCGGCCATCGTTTTTTATCGCAGTTTATTTACAGTCATGGGGGTCCGAGTAGTCCAGCTTCACTCCTTCAGCTTATAGGGGTCTAGAATTCTATTCTTGAGTGTGCTGGACTCCGCATCGGGGTGGTCCGGGTTTGAACCCACACCAGATCCCCTGCACTGAATTCTTGAGCAAAACCCTTTAATCTAAAATAATTTCTCCATGTTGGAGTGTAAATGGGTATTTATAAATGCTGGGGTCGTCCGGTTGCTGGCGAAGCATCTTATCTAGGGAAGAACCTAGTTGTTTCTTCCGACTGGAGTCTAGGATGCCGATCCCCTTTAATTTTTTGTTTCCGGTGCGGCCTTATGTTTTTTTAAATCCGGTATATATTGCTCTCAATAGGTGGTTTAACACTCCTTTTCTTTCTGCCAGGAAAATTAAACAAGATGGTGTTAAAATTGCTGGCTGAGGAAGGAAAAGTCAACACTGATTCTCTTCGCCTACGGATCGTGACCAAATCGGGTGCTGTGATCCGGGAATTAAAAATACAGTCACATGGTAGCACACATTACGAAACAAGTTTCATCCCACTCACCACTCCCTTCAGACTCAAACTCACTGGAACCACTGAAAAGGGGCATACATTTGAGAGGCTGTCCCATCGTGAGATAAAACCAACCACTGCAGTTCTCAGAGCCAAACACGCCAGCAATGATTTCACTCTTCCCTTGAATGTGACCACGTACCTTCATTTTCAAATCTGCAACTTCGGTGACAGTGAACTGTTTGAGATCGTCGTAAAGAAGGACAGTTTGAATTTCATCGTGCACCAAAGTGCCAGTTCACAGCGACCCAAACATGTTGCGAAAGACCGTTGCACCTTGGTGTTCGTTCGTGCTAAAGCCACGCGACCAGAGAACGTGCACAAGACGAATTCCGTTACCTTGATTGCTAAAGGGCAGTCCTCAGGTGTCATCGTTTCACGGGTCATGAGGCTCTTTGTAGTCAACGCAGAGGGCTAACTGAGTAACCGGCTTTAACAATAGCTCCCGTAAAAAAAAAACATGGAGTCTTGATTTTACTTTGCACACGAGCGCAGCCAAGATTAGATAGGGAGCATATAATAAACTAATACTACTTATTAGTAACAAGGCCCAATAAATGAATACATTTGATGATGATAATAACAGACTACTAAAGCAAACGCGAGTTGATTTATTTCAAGTTTAAAAATACATCAATAGATGTAGCGAACCAGTAACAGAACAGAATAGAACAATTATGGGCGAGGAAAGCCGCGGCTAAAGCTCAAAACGTTGCTAAGAACTTTTCCATGTTAAAAGCCCGAAGATTTTACTGTAAAAACGCATTCTGTAGAAACAATATATGCGAGTCCTGACAGAAACAGATCTAGTAAATGCTGTGCTTCATTATTTTTTCGACATAGGGCTGCTCTTGAACAACCCTAACTCCTTGGCACTTTTCCTTCCCCTTGCAGTTATTCTCCGGATAATTTTTTGTAACGCTTGCGTAAATTCTCTCTCAGCGCTGAGCTAGACACTTTTTCAGCCTCGCACACTCTGTATGGAAACTGTGATTTGATGTGACAATCTGTCCCGAGACCTCGCAGAGGTAACCAGCTTTTATAGTTGAGATTTACCTTAAAATCACGATTAATCATTAACTATGTCAGGTTATGTTAACTTTCCTAGACTTATAAAGGTAGAAAGTTGCGTTAGTGCCCATTCTTCCACGAAGTTACGGGGGTGGCGAATTTATACAGGCATCAATCACCTCGAGATTTTCTCAACTTGAAGGAAAGGGTTTGCTCATCAGTAATATAAATGCATGCTTGATCATTTAACTAGTACAGAAGAAACATATACAGAGAAATAGTTTGTTGCAATTTGCAGCAGGTCAATAACTTTACCAGCAGCCAGGAATGTTCATCTAACAAATATATTTCAGTCGTAGTAAACCGGAATGTTTATCTAACAAATATATTTCAGTCGTAGTAAACCGTCAAAAGCTATTAAAGCACTGAGGTATTGAAGTTGACTTTCGAAAGAGATTGCAGGTCGGCTTTCTTCTTTATTCCATTTGGAGAACTCTGGAATTAGTGAAAGAAAATTATTTGCAACTTGCTCTATTTAATCAGAAAAAGCACGCGAATTTTCTTAACCAATCAGGAACAACAACGATACATTCTGTGACTTTCCTTTCCCGCGCCTTCCGCTGGCTGCACGTTTTCCCGCACTTGGCGCTGGGTGCATGTTTTCCCGCGCTTGACACTGGTAAATGTTCTCCCGCGCTTGGCATGTTTTCCCGCGCTTGGCGCTAGGTGCATGTTCTCTCGCGTCTGGCACTGGTTACATGTTTTCCCGCGCTTGGTGCTGGCGGGACATTTTCCCGCGTTTGGCGCTGGTTGCATGTTTTCGCGCTTGGCGTTGGCTACACATTTTCCCTCGCTTGGCACCGGTTGCATTCCATGAAATAAACACAGCAGAAAACAGCAAAAATATGAAAAAGCAAAGGCCCCAAATAAGCGCCACACGACCTAATAATACAAAACCGGCGCTCAATCGAAGCATTTGACTGTGTATAAAGCACTGTTATTTTAATGTAATTAAGGTATACAGCAGTGGTGAGACCGCGTACCTCTCACCAATGTGGCCTGGGTTCGATTACGGCCCGGTGACATATGTGGTTTGAGCTTGTTGTTGCTCCGAGGGTTTTTCTCCGGGTTCTCTGGTTTTCCTCCCTCCACACAAAGAAAAAACATCATTTCCAGTTTCCAATTCGAACAGGATAGAGGACCCACATGAAAAATAAACCAGTTACGGCTGGAGTGGTTTCCTCCTTAAATTTTGTAATTTCGTTATTTATTTTAAATTCGAGGAGGCATAAAAACGCACCAGGGTATATATTTAACTCCAATTTAAAAATTAACTCAATAAATTAGTAAACAGTTAAATTAAGTTACATCAGGGTTCTCACAGGAAAATGGAGTACAAAACTGAGAGTAGCATTTTATTATTCTTTATTAGCTGTGAATTCATTCTAGCCCGGACATACGTGCCCAGCGTAACATCTTGTTTGTGACTCTCTTTTCGTATTTCTTGCTTCGGCGTGTTTCATGGAGTCACTGAACTCTGGTTGGATCAGCTGCGAAGGAGACAAAAAAAGATACAAATTGATCATTTAGTGTTTGATCACAGCCGCGAAGAGAAATCACTTTTGGGTGTGAGCAGTTTTCCCTGATACACTCGGAAAATGGTCATGAACCCTAAATTCTAATACCTCATTGAAGACATTTTATAAGAAGGTTACCCTGGGTGCCAGGGGTTGGTTTGTTTGTTTGTTTTTTTTCGTGGCCAAGCCACTTGTATTGAGCAGCGAGGCCCAGGGAACTTCGTCCCCTTAACTGCACCTTCGACACCACTTAATTTGTATTTGGATCTTCCACCTGTTTCTATCGATTTTTAGTAGTAATCTAATAGCGTTCCATCACGAATACTGTTCTCTGATTGGCTACGCTACGCACTGTCTATTCTGTGATAGATAGTGAGTAGCGTGGGAGTGTGCGCTTGTTAACAAAATGAGGGCCGCTTCTTGGCGTTATACGAGTAGAATTTAGATAAAGTTTTGAACGACTAGTAGATTTATACTAAAACAATTACATTCATATGTATTCGCTCTCGATTTCTATCGCGTGGTAATTGACTGGGGCTGCGTCCTCGTCAACTATCACGCGATAGAAATCTTGAGCTCATAATCTAATTGTTTAAGGCTTTACGATTGTACGCGCGCATAGGACGAAAGCTCAAGTAATCTGCGCGCACTCAAAGGAAAATGTAAGTGTTTTTCGATTTTTATGACGTCAACATGAGCACAAAAAGCAAAACTGACAGTGAATTTTCTCGCGTTTCCTTCGGTGATTTTTTTTGTTAAATTTTGCTCAGTTGTAACCGCATACAATTCCCATAAAATATCCTATTTTTGTTAAAATCTGTCAGAGCTAATCTAATATACTTAGAAGAATGACAAATTACAGAATATTGGTGAAACCGTCTGAACAACCTTGACTTTTTACGAATTCAAAATGTCAGGCAATATCGATAGATCATTTTCATGATGTGGCAAAGTGTGAAAACATTTCACCGAAAGAAAGTATAAATATTAAGGAGTTTAGGCCAAAATGAGGAATATATCTGCCTGTCATTAGATGAGATGTTGCCATGGTAACAGCCTTAATCCAAAACTTGACAACCAAACAATAAGCCTTATTTTAACAGTACCAATACTAGTAAATCTCTACAGGGAAAACTTTAAGAGAAATTAACTAAGTTTCCTTTTCTAACTCGCTCCCTATAGGGAGGGTGTTCGCAAATACTCCAGGGAGCCACCTTAATAGAACACTCGAAGAAGTTTGGGAGAACTCGAAAAAGCCGCCTGTCTGCTCACGCGCCTGTTGGGTTTGCATAACTTTCGAAAATTCTCCCAATCCCTCTAGTGTCTAGATGAGGCCGTGTAAACACCAAAAATGTACTCTATTGCAGTCATAAAATATTTCTCAAGAATACGTGTTGATGTAAAACGTCACAACCGTGTTTACATACTCTCAACTAAACACACCTATTGACCAATGAGAGCGCGTGCGCAGTATGAGTTATTTTAAGAAACTTGATAGAAACACGGAACAATTGTTTTCTATTTCTTAAATAAAGTACGCGCATTACGTTACGCGCTTGCTTCATAACAGTGTTTTTAGCTTTACCTCGTCAGAAAGTAGCTTTAGGCGATTTAATAGTTCCACTGCTCGTTGACTTGGTCTAGCAGACACTGTGTATACTCCGAGAAGTACAGACGACACGATTAAAAATATCTTTAGGTTCATTTTGTATTTCCAGAACGCTCTTGAAATAGACCTGTGAAAAGCCATAAGTGTGACAATTTCAAAAGACAGAAAGAATCTTTGTTTTTCGATAAATATGAAGTGGCTTAAATAATGTAATCGGGAAAGCCAACCATAGAAGTTAACTGTAAGCGCGTAGCACACGAAGAAAGCCACGCCAAAGTTAATATGATCATTCATTCACTCATTCATTCATTCATTCGTTCGTTCGTTCGTTCGTTCGTTCGTTCGTTCGTTCGTTGATTCATTCTTTAATTCATTCAGTCAGTCAGTCAGTCAGTCAGTTAGACAGTGAGCCATTCTTCACGATTCATTCATTTATTCATCCGTCCATCCATGCATTCATATATCTATTCAGTCAGTCAGTCAGTCATTCATTCAGTCATTCATTCAGTCAGTCAGTCAGTCAGTCAGTCAGTCAGTCAGTTAGTCAGCAATTCTTGAATTCATTCATACATTTGCCACAAACCACTAAACCAGCCACTATATAATATACAAAATCTGAAGATTGTGCGAAAATGCTAAAATTGGAATGCTGAAATATTTTCAATAGTCAAGATCTAAAGAGGATAAAAATACAAGATAAAAGCTTGATCAAGGCGTCATAAATCTCTGAATCTCTCTTTGAATCTCCTGTAATAAAATCTTTTAAAATATAACGATTTCTGTTCACGTGACGACAAAAGCATGGCACAACAAATAAAATACAACGAGATCACCAAAGTGGGCACCGAAAATAAGAGAGATCGTGCCGTTTTATTTAAAGTGGGACTTCTTAAAAACAAATTACAACGAGTTCACAATCGCTTTTTATCCGTCGTTCAACGTGATATTTGAAATTTTCTGAGCAAGATTTAACTTTACCTTCAACCACTGAAACATTAACGATAACAAGGCAACCTTATAATTTGACACGCGAAAAAGGGATACCTTTAAATCAAACTTTGAACAAGGAAGAAACAAATTAAACCTTTTCTAGGATAGATTGTCTTTAAAATAACCGTAAAATTGGCAACACATCCATAAAACTAACTTCTCTCTCTTAAGTAGCAAGGGACGTAATTGACAAAGATTGGCATGATAAATTTACGCTTACCTGCGACAAGTGTAGTGGAAGCTGAAAATACGATTTTTTTCGTCGCAATCTGAAGCGCAGAGTCGTATTAACGCAAAAACGCTTGCTTTTAAAATGTTCTCCCGTTTGGGATTTCCGTCTTAAACAATGGACGCACAGTGAAAATTAATTGCGATGTAATAAACGACGATTGATTGTTTTGTATCATTTAGGCTCTTTTCTGTGAAAGGCGGTTGCACTTTTACCGAAATTTCGTTTACTTTTTAATGCAAATATTTGAGGGAGCCATGTTCTAATATGAGAAAAAGAGCTACTTGGATTTGTAAAAGTAACTGCCTTTTTGCGCCAGATCCTATGATTGGAAACATAAGGAAACGTTTCTTTGTTCAAAATTTGTAGTTAGCTAGTGGTGAATAACACTTGTTTGTCAAAAAACAGATTTTTTTTTCCGTAGCAGCCACGTTTTGACCTTTTTCAACCTGAAACAAGCATCAGCCCAAAGTGATTTTTATTTTCATTTTTAATTCAGTTGACGAATTAAAGTTTTCAAATTAAAGCTAATGGCAACACTTTCGTGAGAAACTGTTTGTTTTTCGCTGCGCCCAAAGACTGAATCCGAATTGAAATTTTATGGGGTAAAAAGGCGAATTTTGAATAAAGTGAATTCAGCCTGGTGAAGCGGATAAAGGCTGACATTTTTTGGTCGTATTCAATGGTATTTCATAAAGTAAAAAGTTATTTCGCCTCTAATAACCAAGTGGATCGCGCCGCGTTGTATAAACTTGTTATTGCATAATATCAGAGGGGTACTTCGTTTCCAAGAAACCGTGAAGAGTGAACATATAACAGCTTAATATATGTATCCCACCGTCGCGAACTGATCACAGATTTAACATTGCAGTTTTTAACCTAACATACTGATTGTAAAAGTCCGCATCACTTTCCCTGTATAGCCGTTATTAACCTGTAAATGATGTTTGTTATGTCCAAATACGGTATTTCCTCATGAAAGCATCAAAGATTATCGAAAACTACTGTAGTTGTAATTTTGATTTGAAGTACAGTGACTGTTTTGTATGTCAGAAACGATGACAAAGGTATCAGAATTCACAAACGGTTCCTATAACAACGGCTAAGCCGTTAGTAAACTCGGCCAACTTTTTCCTTGTCATACTTCTGTGTCAATAGTTTTATTTCCTGTAGGAAGGTTTGATTTCCTACCGTATTAAGTTTATCTGGAGTGATGAAAGCAGCTTTGCGGATATCAGTAAAAACGCGTCTTCTTTTGTTTGTCAAACAACCGAATTATTATTAAAAACCCAGGTACATTCTTTTCGTATTAATAATTACTGATTGATTAGACAAAGGATGTAGCTTAATTTTTAATTCCGAGCAATAAGAGGATACTTTTTAAAAAATCATCTTTCAGTCGACAGTTGAGAATTAGCGACATAAAAAGTTTTAGAGCAGTTCATGTTTTTTTCACGAAAATATAAGCAAATTTCTCGACAACATTACAAGATTCTTGAGAACTTCACACATTTTATTCGTTACAATAATTTATACCGAGCAAGGGAAACTGAATTGTTTTGAAAACTTAGAGAACGCAAGCTTTGGGCAAGCTAAATTCGCCCTAAAATAAGCTTATTTTACTATTATTATTTCAACACATTTGACTTAAATAAGCTCTACGATATGGCTTTGCTGGCTTTTTTAATTTGCAAGAAGAAGAAAGAAGAAGAAAGAAAGACTTTATTTAAGTGTCATTAGTATTTAGCCTTAAAAAAGAACAAATTGGGGACACTATTTTTGTTCTTGAGAAAAAAAAAATCGTAATAAGTCATCAACAATTTGTAAAATAGGGAGCCATGATATATACAACAATACTAGCTATCGTTTGCAAGTATTATTGCAGGTATTATTGTAGCATTTTGATTTCAAATATTGATACGGGTAAGTTATAGATTCCACGGCACAGCAACATACCGAAACTGGCTGCCGCTCATAAGCCGTAGACTTCTACATCTTCGTAACGGGTTTTGGATAGGCTTATAACCGAATGGGCTTTATATATCGGGAGGTGGGGGACTTGTAGGCGGAATAAGAAATTAGCTACAGCGGTGCGAGGGGCATATTTCCGGGGGGCTTATAATAGGAAGTAATTTTTGTTTACAGGTAGATGGGACTATAATGAGGGGGAAGGGAAAGGGGTGGGACTTAAAAGCGAGAGGGCTTGTAAGCTGCAGTTTACGCTATTGTTTTTTCGCTGTATCTTTTCCTTAGTATAGCTGCCTAAATTGACCCTTATAGTTCAGGCTGTCAACAAAAATTCCCTCAGTAGTTTATGAACCCCCTCACCTCACTCAGTCTTCTCTAAAATGCGTATGTTGGGGTGTGGGAGGTCTGAATCTGGATCTCATCACAACTGAAGGAAGTTTTACACAAGACGTAGAGCGACATGGTTGTAGTGGTGGGGAAACGGGGGGAGAAGTGGCATTCACTACAGAATCAGTTGCTTCGACTATCTTCTTGTTGTTTTTATTCTTGAGAGAAAAAAATTCTTAAGTCGCTGTCATCAATAATTTGTAACTCTACTAAGGCTGAATATGTTTTTTCCTGTAATAATTCATTAGCAGAAAATTGTCATTTCCTTTATTGTAATTCAACGACAGAAAACAATTGATAGAATCTGTTTATATTTTTCTCCTAATTGCGTTAGAAACAGACTATTTTCGAGTCTCTGTAAATTAATTTTTAAAGCGAATCTTCCTCATTTGAAACTGGTTTAGGGCAGTCTAATTATTTACTTGATTTGATTCGCGCGCCTTGCAGACCATGAGAGCAGACTGGGTACGAGAGATCACGCCTTGGAAAA